TATTGTTTATATCAACATTAGAATTACATTATTCTTACATTATTTCTTTCAGAATTATTACATTATTCTTGGTATACGGAGCGGTACAAACTGTTTTGTAAGATTGGCCCTAAGTCTATTCTACAATCATACGATGTTTATGTTGTCTTTAAGTCCAGTCGACAGATCAGCGATATTTTGGCCAATCATAAACAGAAAGAAGACATTTTGGACTGTAGTGGTATTTATTCTATCGGATGTTGTGATTGTGCTGCTGTTTACATCGGTCAGACCGATAGGAAGCTACATAAAAGATTATATGAACACAAAACGAAGAATACCTCCAATATATTTAAGCATATGAGTGAGACCGAACATAACATTAATTTTGAAAGTGTGAAACTCCTTCACAAATGCGATAAGGGTGTGAGAATGGATTTTTTTGAGGGTTTTGAAATCGATAAAGTTAAACATAGAAATGATTCTCACCTACTGAATGATCAATTAGAAAATTTTTATAAGGCTTTGTACGTTTTATTAAAGAATTAGATTTTCCTTATTTTTAGTTCCGACTCTTTTTCGTTTTAATTAAAGACGATAGCTGTTCGGAGTTTTCAGCATTAACAGTTTCTCGAAAAACGAGATCGTGACATGTAAGCTACTTCTTTTCTATCTCTTTTAGTTTCGGAGATAACCTATACGGACAACGAATTTGGGACATCCTATACTGACCGTAATTGATCGTTTCACGCATTGGCCGGAAGCCTTTCCTTTCAACGATATCACTTCTGGTACCATTGCGGATACTCTCTGTCGGCATTATTTCAGCCGATTTGGCATACGTGAAACATTGTTTGAAACAGTCAACACAGTTTTCTATTCAAACCAAAAACCATTCATTCATAAAGATTTATTTCATTCAAAATTAGTTTTTCAAAATTAACGGGATTCAACCCTCTTTAACTCCAAGATATGAACGCCCATATAAAGTTATAAAAAGATCTCCAAAATAATTTCTATTTTTCAAAAATAACCAGGAATTAACGGTTAACACCGTCTTAAACTTGCATTCCTTCTAAAGAAAAATCTAGCTTGTTACTACAGTGACATAATCAATTCAAACAGCATAAAAATTCAGAAAAAAAGTTTCTTTTGATTTTTAAATATAAATTTTTTTAACTCGAATATTCCTCTTTTTATGCATCCCGGGACGCCAGGACCAGGTGGGCGCTATTATCAAGGGATATTCGCCAATCTTCAAATTTCTTTAATTCTTATTATTTCTTTAGTAATAACACCCATAATCTTGTTTCTTTCATTCCCGTTCCATCTTTTCTTTATGAAGTTCTGTACTTACATAGGTTTAAAAATCAACTAACGAGAAGATATTAACTTGATCATCCAGAGCTTGTTCCAAAAGATTATATTTTTCCGCCTAACCGTGTTGCACCTAAATTAGCAATTCAAATTCAAGTTATGTTTAATTTGTAAAATTACTATATTTATGGAAAAACTGGATAAAACTTCCTTTACTTGCTTAAAAACTTTATTTAATGTATAGTCGTATCGATTTCGGGAAACACTCCCATCATCAGCGACAAGCTGTATACAAACAGAAAATGAATGTAAACTTGAAATACAATTATAAGAACCATAAAAAATATATATATATATACGTTTCAATCAGAAAAAATAAAACTTACTGTGAATAAGCGTAAATATTAAAAACAGGAACATCCATATTTAAAAACAATGAACATATAAACTATTGAAAATAAGAATTCACGACAATCACACGAGAAAAACGAGAAGACATGTGCGGGAGGTGGCGTTATTAAAAGTAAAACATGTGCTATTGGGAAAAAAGAAGAGAGAGGACCGAAAAAAGAAAAGGAAAAGACGAAGAACTCGAAATCAAAAAAAGAAGAAAAAGAAAGAGATATCAAAACGTAAATCTTACCAGCAGCCAAATACATAAAGAGTGGCTTGTAATTATTACTAATTTGATCATTTAAAATGGAGAGGTTATTATTTTTACTGTGTTTATTAATTTCAAAAAGTTCCAGAAGATCAAGTTTATAACCCTTAGAACATTCATGAAGTAATGTAACGTTTTCATAATCTATGCTATGGCCCGTCTCCATATGATGTTTATATAAATTAGACTGAATTCTATTTTTATGTTCATGAATTCTGTTTCCTAAACGACGACCTGTCTGTCCAATATAAATTCCGTTACAGTTAGAACATCTAACCGAATACACGCCATTTTTTTGAAGTATATTCCCATTTTTAGGGTGGTAATTAGATAAAAGCCTAATAATAGAACAATTGTTAGAAAAGGCTAATTTAATTTTGTATTTATCAAAAAAGCTTCTGGACACCAAAGATATTTCATTATATGAAATGGGTTTGTAAATATAATTATCATTCACCTTAACATACAAAGGATCTTTACTCTGAAGTAATTTAAACTGTAAACCTTTAATAATACTTAAAGGAAAACCGTTATTCAATGCAAGAGTATGAATATATTTAAATTCCCCAAATTTATGCTCCTCTGATAAAGGGTAACTGATGGCACCATTAATCAAATAACGAAAATTCGTCAATTTATGAGACATTGGATGAAAAGAATCAAAAGGAATTGTTGTTGGGACCATAGATGGTTTCTTATAAATATTATAAGACAAAAAATTATTAATTTTAGTGAGTTCTAGATCAAGGAAGTTAAGTGAACACTCCTTCTCAATTTCTAAAGTAAAGTTTAAATTAGGATGTAAATTATTTATAAAATCGTGAAAATCATTTAGTGAAGCCAAATTCCCGTCCCACACACAAAATACATCATCGACGTACCTTATCCAATTGTATATTTTATTTCTGAAGGGATTAGAATTATTAATTATATGATTGTTCTCAATGTAGTCCAAAAATATTTCCGATAGAAGCCCCGATAGGGGCATTCCCATTGGAAGTCCCTCAGAGACATGAAAAAATTCGTTATTAAAAGTGCAATAATTTTGCTTAACTACATGCTTCAAAAGGCTATCAAAATGTTCGGTGTTAATATTATTAAAATGATTTTTAAACAAATGTGAAGTTAACTCAAGTGTCTTATCGATGGGTACGTTTGAATATAAATTAGTAATATCAAAAGAAACAAGTATTTTATTATTATAATTTAGATCTTTGGTTCGTTCATTAAATTGTAAGGAATTAGTTACAGAAAATTTAGCTTTGAAATTGATAATCTTGAAAATGTTAAACAAAAAATCAACCAGTTTAGAAGTAGGTGAAGAATTAAAGCTTGTTTTGGGTTGAATAGGCATATTGATCTTATGTAGCTTAGGAAGTGCATAGAGCCTCGGGAGAATAGGGTTCAAATGGATAAAAAATGAACTGTTAAAAAACGTTGAATTTTTAAAATTTTTAAATCTTGGCGTGAACTCGATTAAAGTTTCTTTACACTTGTTTATAAGTTCTCTGGTTTGTTTAATAATCTTATCCGTAGGATCGGATCTTAGTTTATTGTAATTATTGGAAGCCATAAATGAATATGTTTAATATATATAAGATGATATTTAATTTCGTTAGCCTGACTATGTTGCTTAATAATGACGTCGAAATCTATGGCAGCTTCGTATCAATTAGGTTCCTTAACTAAAGCAAATTTATATTCTTTGTTAAGGAATGCTTTCATCTTCACTAAACGAGATGGTAGTTAAATTTGTGAATTGGGGTATATTATCTTTTTGAGTATTAATTTTATTTTTATTCCTCAGTTTATCCCTATTAACCTTATATTTAATTAGATTAGCCAGCTTACTCCTCTTCCTCCTCAAGTCCTCCTCCCTCACAATTTCTGCCTCGTCCCTTATTTTAATGATAATTTGTTCAAGTTGTAAGAAGTGAAAAACTTCTCTGAGTAAACGGTAGCAATGTGCTAATTTTCCGTAGGTGGTGTTAAGCTTCTTATAGTGTTGTCTTTTCTCTTCTCGTAATATCACTTTAACTAACTTAAATTTCTTTTTATCGTTGATTCTCCCACATCTCACCTTTGTAAAATTTGGAATTAAATTTTCTTTCATACATTGATTAATAAAAAAGATATGATTATTGATGATTCCCATTTTTGTATACAGCTCTTCTATATCCATGGATTAATGTCGAAGTATTAACATTTGTATTGAAAATAAAATCCATGTTGCAAGTATATTTTAATGGAAAAACTAGATAAAACTTCTTTTACTTGCTTAAAAACTTTATTTAATGTATAGTCGTATCGATTTCGGGAAACACTCCCATCATTTTCACAATAGCACATGTTTTACTTTTAATAACTCCACCTCCCGCACATGTCTTCTCGTTTTCTCGTGTGATTGTCGTGAATTCTTATTTTCAATAGTTTATATGTTCATTGTTTTTAAATATGGATGTTCCTGTTTTTAATATTTACGCTTATTGACAGTAAGTTTTATTTTTTCTGATTGAAACGTATATATATATATATTTTTTTTATTGTTCTTATAATTGTATTTCAAGTTTACATTCATTTTCTTTTTGTATACAGCTTGTCGCTGATGATGGGAGTGTTTCCCGAAATCGATACGACTATACATTAAATAAAGTTTTTAAGCAAGTAAAAGATCTAGTTTTTCCATTAAAATATACTTGCAACATGGATTTTATTTTACTATATTTATGTTAAATAAAATAATTTTTAAACATTATCAAAATTTATGGATTCTTATCTTCACGTTAAATTTCTCTTAATTTTTTCCTATTAAAAATTCCGCTTCTATCAAGGAACTTTTTATGATTACGAGGTTCTTTATAACTTCTAATTCGAGAAAAGGACAATTGAAACTCAACTGTAAATTGCTATAATTTCCCAAAGAAATGGAACCCATCCAAATTGGTCTTGTCGCAGTTAACCGCACCTTCCAACGCTTATCGCAATCAAATGATAATTTCTTCGAGAATTTGGCGAGCGTTCTAATTGAATCTGTCTGTTTCAGGATAATAATCGGGCTGAAGAACACGGATACCAACCGCGCGTTTTCTTTAGTGTCCCACTGGCTTTGTTACGCTAACAGTGCCGTGAACCCAATCATCTACAACTTCATGAGTGGTAAGTTACTTCCGATGAACTTTGTAAACATGCGGCTATAATTCTCCATATTCTCATCCTGAACGACAGAGGTATGTCAGCGGGATAACGATATTACCATGACCCTCGTTAAACCTGACATCAATCACTTTGCGAGTTAGATATGCGGACGAACATTCTAACCAAGTGTAGAAGTTAATATTTAATGCTTGGTGAAATAATAATTAATACTCATACTCTTTCAACTGAATTTAATCTAATTTGTGGTGTATTTTGACTTCGTATCCTACAAGTAAGGTATCGATTTTATTCCTCTAAACTACGAAAGAACACAACGCGACCATTTTGTTGTCCCAAAACGAGAGAAACAAACTTTATTTGAAAAGCTAATGAAAATTTCGTATCTTTTACATTAACTGGCGATCTGTTCAATATTGCGTTTTTCATTTTATAATGAAAGTGTACAACCATATCGAATTTATAGATATTAATTCTCAATAGTATCGCTTCCCGTTAATCTTTCCAATATATCCCACATTGATGGTTTATACCATAACAATCACTCATACTTCAGCGATCGAGTAATATCGAAATCCAGCCACAAAACAATTAAATGGAGGTTATCGTGTATCGCCTGTCATTCAAAACCAACGGATCTGTAAGTTTGAAGCCAGCTTACACGAAGATTATTAAACTGCACCAACTATACCGCAGTCATCTATATGCAAATCGAACTTGCGTGTTAGCTTTTTCCAACTACAATGTCAAAGTGTCGAGGTTACCAAAAAAGAAATATGAATATGAGATAGGGATGAAAATTATGAGTTTGCTGCCAAACGTGAGGCTCAAAACCAAGTATAAGTGAATAAATTAAATAGCGTTTTATTTTGGAAGGTATCTTTTTTCCAATTTCTACCAATAAAACTAGATATATTACGAAACGGGTTCAACCCAATTCACACAATTGTATTACAGTGGAAATTCCGTGGAAATCGTACGTGATTTGTTCGTTCTACAGTTTCTAGAGCATTCTATTTCAAGTTCAGCACAATCTCAAATGTAATTAACTTTACCCCTTGTTGCTACAAAAAAAGTTGGCGAAAATTAATTTTATTTAACCTTCCGTGTCCACCCGGGTATACTATTCGAAGTTACCACACGGAACAGTGATTCTTCATAAATCTCACTCATTAAAATTCGTAACTGATTCGTATAAAGTTAATTCATAGTGTGAATCGTAAGACTTACTTGTAATTAATTGTTTGTTGATATGGTATCAAAATCAGACAACTACAACAAAATATTCGATAAAAGATTCTTTACAAGTCGAAAGAGGCTTAAAATTTACAATTTCGTTTTGTGGAAAATTGATGCTTCCATCTACAAGTTTACGTAAACGCTTAAACAGACAAGGACTCCATCCATCAAATGAAGCAAAAGCTAATGTTGTTCGAATAGATTTTCTCGGGTGACATCGAAATTGATATACATAAAACAAATTTCTTTTAACACGCACAATGTGCTTTTAACTAAACCTTCCAATCGCGCAATACGGCGATACCCGAAGTATCTATCTCGGCCGTCAGTGTGTGGCTAACCAGGCATCAAAGTTTATGACTACCCCTCTGATAAAACGTAACTCCGTTACAAGCACCCAATAAAACTTTGCGGTGCTACCATCGAAAACAAAAGAAAGGCTTTGTGAAGCACTTATTAGAGGAGACCACGGGTTTGCGCAAAATCTGACTAGTTTCGTAAACTGTTATGCAAGTTTTAATTGAGTTTTGATTTTGATTTTGCGTGATGTACGTTCGAATTTGCAAACGTGTGGAATTGGAAATTAAAATCACTTATTAAAATCAAAATAAAACCTAACTTTAGATTTATATGTATTGTGATTTGACCGCCAAAAAATCAGCAACCCCCTGTTCTTTTAGGAAAGAAATTTTCAATCTTAAAAGATTCTACTTTATGGTATGATATAAAAATTATAAGATAATATTAAATTTCTAGGGAAAAATTACACTAGTCTACAAAAAAAATTCATAAAATGTACATTTGACGCCACTGTATTTTTCTTATGCAGTTTGGTTCCCTAAACCCAAAAATCACATTTAAATTTTTTTCTATGGATATGTTTTGGAGCTATGATTTTGTTTTAGGGGTAAGTTGACTATTTGCAGCATATCTCGAGTTAGATATGACCGATCTGGTCTTGCTATTCATCAAATTAAAGAGTATTGTATAGCCAATAAATGTTATTAATACTTTTTTCGAAAACTGCTATTAAAAGTTGATTTTTGCGTAGTACTTAGCGACCGTCAAAACGATAGTTTTTTGTCAACAGGACGTAATAGTATATTAAGTATCCAGAACTGTAAGTACAATTTACCGGTTGACGACAATGTTTGTTGATGTGTCGGAAACCGGTAAATTACTTACCGTTCGTGATGGTTATAACATTCTTTGCACGATCGAAATGAACATAAATAATAATTAATTTACTAAAATATGTTGACACTTGTAATGATTTATAAAGTAGGTAAAAAATTTGAATTAATTCTGTTTTTATTCCCTGGTTTTATTTACAAAAAAAAACAAATTGTGTGATTTGTGAAATTGTATTGTAAACAGTGCTTACAATAAAATTAAAACTTAATATAATATAAATTATATAAATTATAATATATATTACTATATAACCAAAATGAGTGATTCTGAGAGTGAAAATGGTGATGATATAGAAAAAGCTTGGAATATTGGACGTTCGGCAATAATTCCCGAAAAATCTAGGGAACGTTATGAAATGACGTACCAAATTTTCAAAAAATGGTGTGGAGTAAAGAATAAAAATACGAGTGAAAAAATCTTGTTGGCATATTTGGTCGAAAGAAACGGAAAATTAAAAGCTGCAGGTAGTTTATGGGCCGAATACTCAATGTTGAAAGCGACAATTTTTTTACACGAATCCATTGATATATCCAAGTTTTCAACATTAATTGCCTTTCTAAAAAGAAAAAATGTTGGGTACAAACCTAAAAAAGCTAGTGTTTTTACCAAGGATGAAATGTTTAAATTTTTAATTGAAGCACCAGACGAATTGTTTTTAATCCATAAGGTAAATTTAGATTACTTGTAAAAATACGAGGATATATTTCCGACAATGTATTTTTTTAGGTAGCATTGATATTAGGAGTAGCGAGAGCATGTCGCAGAGAAGAGTTATATAAAATGACTATTAAAGATATAGAAGATCGTGAATCTTTTATTATTATAACCATTCCAAATACAAAAACCAATATTCAGCGCACATTTACTGTACAAAATAAAATAATATAAATAAAAAAACGAAAAAATTAATTATTTGAAAATTGTTCGGAAATATATTAAACTGCGGCCAAACAATGCAAAGTCGTTGCATTTATTCCTAAATTATCGGAATGGGAAATGTAAAAATCAGGTAGTCGGTAAAGGTACTATTGGAGCTTTATCATCGAAAATTGCTGAATACTTAAAATTGGAAAATGCAGTTAATTACACTGGTCACTCGTTTCGACGTACTTCAGCCACATTATTAGCCAATAAAGGTGTAGACGTTTTAGGACTAAAAAGACATGGAGGTTAGAAATCTTCGACTGTGGCTGAAAGTTATGTTGAAGATTCTCTTCAAAACAAAAATCAATTTGCAGAAAAGATTCTACATGATGATAATGAATCGCCTTGCAGCGTTTCTGATAATATACTAAAATCATCAGCTTGTGCTTCTACATCACGGACATTTTCTGTTGATACAAATACCGAAAAAAGCAATATTTTTATTTGAAATTTTATTTATTATACTTACCGTTCTAGAACGGTAAGTACATTACTTACCGTCGTTTTAGCCGTAGCAACCAGTAAAATCAACTTACCGTCATAGAAACACTACTCGTAAATAAACAAAATAGTCCGATCGTGCAAAAAAGTCTTTTACGTCCAGGACGCAAAAGACTTTTACGTCCAGCTACGACAATCAAAGAATTTGATACTATTAATTGTTAATTTATTGTTATGAACAAATTATAAACACAAAATAATCAACATTTATGTGACGTTAAGTTTTTGACATAACATTAAATGAATTCTAAATGTCATTATACAGAATTTGGTCTTTTTATTAATTTAAAACTAACTTAAATCGAAATTATGATCATTTGTGAATCAAAGTGCCAAAATCCAGCTTTTCCCATTTCTTTAATTTTTCTCAAAAAGCACGAAATACAGTGATTCATTCAGTTTATTTTGATTGTAACATTTAGGTATTAATAAAATAGTATGCACAAGTCTTAGAAATAACTTTGCTCCCCGCTTTGCCTTCTGTTTCTTTGAAAATCCGTCTCTCTTATGAGGAACCAGATATAGTCTCTCATCATTCTTTCAGTCCAAATTCCCTGATAACGCCGCTCAATGTTCTTCATTTGTTGGTGGAACCTTTCGCCATGTTTGTCACTTACGTCACCAAGATTTTCCGGGAAGAAATTTAAGTGTGAGTGTAAAAAATGAATTTTTAGAGACATATGTTGGAAAAAATTTAAATAAAATTATACATATAACTGAAAATAATGTAATAACGTGTATTTGTAAACTGTCTACATTCCCGTAGCTTTTGAAATGTACATCGAAATTAAATTCAGAATAAAAAACGTGTCATTCCTTCATTGTTTTTTTATTTTGAATCTAAATGTCTCTTAACTCGGAAGCTGCGGGGATGCCGGTACTTTACGGATACCCGGAATAATAATAATAATGATCCATACCCAATTTTGCATAATTCTGAAGCAAATTTTCAACAATTGTCTAGTAATTCGGGCTTTTAGTGTTTCCAAGAAAATCAGAAACAATTAACTGAAACGAATTCCAGGCTGCAACTTCAACGAATGCTAAATAGGTTTGAAATTTGTCATCTTTTAAAAGTTTTTTTATTTGTGGATCGTTGAAAACACCTTCCTTGATTTTTGCGAAAGAAAGATTTCCAAATAAGG